CCCCCTGTGAAAGGGTCGTTCGACCGCCAAAGGGGTCGCGACCCACAGGTTGAGAACCGCTGCTTTAGCCAATAAGGTTTTACCTGTGCCAGGTGGACCATAGGGAATGACGCCCTTAGGGGGCTTTATACCCCCATCTCTTCATAATATTCAGGGTGAGTGAGAGGAAGCTCCACAGATTCCTTAATTTCCTGGATTTGGTTGTCCAACCCTCTCCCCCCACATGTTGGCAGAGGTCTCCTGTGGGGCCTTTTCCACCTTCACCACCGTGACCAAGGGGTCCGTGTCATCCATCAGCACCCCTATCACATCATGCACCTTGTGGCTGAGCAGGACAGAGCAGCCTGGTCCCAGCAGGTCCTTGTCCACCAAGGAAAGAATGCGGACATAGTGTTCTGAGCCCACAGATGTAGACACAATGGCGTGATGGTCATCGAAGATCTCTTCTAAGTCCCCACCGACACAGGTCCCCCTCAGATCATCCACCTTTGATCTTTCCTCCTCTTGCTTTTCTTTTAAAGGCTTCATTTGTTCCTGATTTCTAATGAATTCTTCCTCCATGAAAAGATAGTCTTTAATTCTCTCTCATTTCAATCATTTTAACTGGCACTGAGTGTGAGGTGTGACCAGTGGCAGTTTGCCGGCAGCATCTGGTCCCTTTGTTTTCTTCTTCTTTTTCCAACTCTGGTTGGTACGGGAGGTTCGTATTTCTTTTTCTTCTCCTTGTCATCTCTCTTGTCACCTCCAGGACCATGACCATCACTATGACTTTAACCCATCTTGCCAGGAGTGTGTATTTTCTTAGAGGAAAATCATATCACATTCACTACTAAGACCTATTTTCCTTTTAAAAAAACAAAACGCATTTTATCTGGAAATGATTATGGATTCACAGGACATTTACCCCAAATCCCCAGTTAGGCTGCGTATGGGAGGCAACCAAAATTGATGTTTTTCTCTCCCATCAATGCTTCTCTCTCTCTCTTCCTGTCCCTCTCTAAAATCAATAAAAGCACATTTTAAAACATAAAATAAATAAATAGTGTGGGGGAATCAGCCTCCCTCCAGTATAAAGGACCTGACTCCTCCCATGTCCATTCTTGGAGGTGATTTCCCTTCCCAGCAGCCCCAGAGAAGGGAGCCAGGTCTTTAAAGGAGCTGCTTTGCATACACTGGGCGTCCGAGACCAGGCTAAACAGAACGAGGAATTTGTTCCAGCTCCAGGAGAATAGCTGGCTGTGCTGACCTTCCAGGAAATAGGTCACGTGTCGTGTCCTCTGCGCTCCCCGTGGAGTCCACCTCCGTGTCTGAGGCAGCCCTCCTGCAAGGCCACCTTCATCGCTGTCCTCTCAGTGCGGCTCATGTGTTTCCCGTGAACCTTTAGGTCCTCCTTACCCAGCTCCAGGTCGCCCCCTGCGACCCCACCCTGGGCCCACTCCTCCAACCCAGCACCATCCAGGCCCCGCCCCAAGGAGGCACGCCGAGACACTGACCTTGAGGCCGCGCTGGAAGGTGGAGATGGACAGCAGGGCCAGGTCTTGCTGCTCCTCTGCGTAGCGCACCAGGTACACGTAGACCAGCTTCTTCACCTGGGGAGAGCGGGTTTCCAGCAGGGACCGGCGCCCCCACCCCGTGGATGTCCTCACCCGGCAGGCTACCGTCTTCGGGGACGGATCCCTCCAGTGGGGAAAAGCATCCCTGTGTGCCCACCTGCCTTCTCTCTGACCCACATCTAGTTCAGGGGCATGTGGACAGTGCCTCTTCCTGGACCAGGGACATTTCTGGGCAGGGCAGGCCGCCGGGGGCTGGAGGGCCCCCTTCCTCACCCCTGACCAGCAGGAGACCCTTCGTTGGGGAGCGCTCACCTCTATGTTCTTACAGGCCACGTTCTTCACCACAGCGGGAAATAGGTCTGAGGCATTCTTTCCCCGGGCGATCATCTGGGTGGTGAGGTCAAGGTCAGTAGGAGGAGGAGAAGAAGGAGGAGGGAGGGGGCCAGCATTTAATAGGGGGTGGTCCACAAGGGGGACATGCTCTTTGACCCCAGGTCCCTTCCCCAGTGAGGACCAGAGGGCAAGGGTATGATATGAATGAGCAGGTGGAGGGATGACCTGGGAGGCCTCGGCCAGGTAGGGCAGGAGGTGAGATAAGAAGAGGCAAGAAGCCCTAGCCAGTTTGGCTCAGTCCATAGAGCGTGGGCCTGCGGACTGAAAGGTCCCGGGTTTGATCCTGGTCAAGGGCATGTACCTCTGTTGCAGGCTTGATCCCCGGCCCTGGTCGGGGCGCATGCGGGAGGCAACCAATCGATGTGTCTCTCTCACATTGATGTTTCTCTCTATCTCTTCCCCTCCTTTCCGCTCTCTCTAAGAATTAATGGAAAAATATCCTTGAGTGAGGATTAACCAAAACAAAGAGGCAAAAAGTTGGGTCAGGGTAAGAAAGGTGTGCAAGGTTTCTCCAGCCCCCTTCCTCCCCCTTCCCCGCCACCCTTACCGCCACAATCCTCTTCATGGCCTCCAGCTTGAGGGAATCCTTGTTGCTGTCCAGCATCTCCTTCAGGTCATCGTGCCTGGTGGGAGGCACAGGGAGTCAGCTGAGGGCACAGGGTGGGGGTGGGGCTATCAATCCGGAGGATCCAGGCGGAAAGAAGGGACATGGGTGGGGCTGGCTCGGGCAGGACCCCATCAGAGGGGAAGGGAAAAACAAGTGGGTCAGACAGGGATATGGGTTGAACTGTGTTCCCCTCAAAAAAGAGATGTCGAGCCCTGGCCGGTTTGGCTCAGTGGGTAGAGTGTCAACCTGTGGGCCGAAGGGTCCCCGGTTCGATTCTGTCAGGGGCATGTACCTCGGTTGCAGGTTCCTCCCTGGCCTGGGCCCTGGTCTGGCTCATGCAGGAGGCAACCAATCAATGTGTTTCTCTCACATGGATATTTTTCTCTGTCTTTCCCTCTCTCTCTTCCACTCTCCCTAAAAATCAATGGAAAAATATCCTTGAGAGAGGATTAACAGCAACAACAAAAATAGACAGGTTGAAGTCCTAATTCCTGGGCCCCAGAAGGTGACTTTATTTGCCGTTGTAAGTAGTAGTTAGGATGAGGTCAGACTGGAGTAGGGTGGGACCAGTGTTCTTATAATAAGATGGCCCTGGTCGGGGAGGAGACTGCAACCGAGGTACATGCCCTTGACCAGAATCGAACTTGGGACCCTTCAGTCCGCAGGCTGATCTCTATCCACTGAGCCAAACCCTCTAGGGCAGCGGTTCTCAAGCTATGAGTCGCGACCCCTTTGGGCGTCGAATGACCCTTTCACAGGGGTCGCCTAAGACCATCGGAAAACACATATATAATTACATATTGTTTTTGTGACTAATCACTATGCTTTAATGATGTTCAATTTGGAACAATGAAAATACATCCTGCATATCAGATATTTACATGACGATTCATAACGGTAGCAAAATGACAGTTATGAAGTAGCAACGAAAATAATTTTATGGTTGGGGGTCGCCACAACAGGAGGAACTGTATTAACGGGACGCGGCATTAGGAAGGTTGAGAACCACTGCTCTAGGGCTTTATTAACATTCTTAACTTCAAAAAGAAGCAACAAGAACTTATTCATTCAAAAAAAAAAAAAAAGAACTTATTCATTCAATTCAATTCATTCATTCATTCATTCATTCATTCACCACTCAACAAATACTTTGTTGCTAGGCTGCCCTGTGAGTCACACTGAAACCTAGGACTCTGGTCCGTAGGCCGACGCTCTAGCCACGGAGCCAAACAGGCTAGGGCCTATTTGAGATTCTTGATGATACATTTAGGCTTCTAAGTTCAGCTACATCAGCCTCCGGGATCCTGGGCCCTCCCGAGAAGTCAGGCCGGAGTCCTCGCCTGTCACCCTGAGGCAGGGGCCTTCCCTGGGAGCAGGGAGGTTGGAGGTCTCTTTAAACTCTGGGTGTTCTCTGGAGCAGAGCTCCTCACACCCAGGTGTCGTGGCTGCACCCACAGATGCCACAGGCACTTGTCAGAGGCACACCCCCTAGGGGCACCCCCCCCCCTCCCGCTTGCTGCACACACTCCAGGCCTCTGAAGGTCCCAGGCCCATGACCACGGAGAACTGAAGGGGAAGAAAGGAATCCCTGGGTGTAGGCAGGAGAGCAGGCAGGGCTGTCGGATGCCACTAACACAGACAGACCGCCCGGGGCCCCTTGTCCTCGCTCTAACCAGGGAATGTTCCCCAGAGGGCAGGGACCGGAGAAGCGCAGCAGGAGAAGCGCAGCAGCACCGAGGCCCTGAAACCTTACTCCCTGAGGTCAGATCCCCTTACGCCACTCGCTGACCTGACCCCTTGTCTGGCCTGAGGGACTCTCTGGGGTGAAACAAGCATCTGAGGCCAGTCACGCTCCCCCCTCACCCACACGTTCCAATTCACAAGCTGGGAAAGGCTGGCCACACTCTATCCGAGCCTGATTCCGTCCCTGAACCCCACCTACAGCCCATTCCAACCAGGGCCTGGGGGAGGGAAAAGGTCAGTGTGGGATCTCAGCCTCCATCATTTCACTCTCCTCCTCCCCTCAGAGTTCTGGGGAGTTAGGCTCCTCGTCACCTCCTCATACTCAGTCCCCCCCAGGACGGGACCCTAAATGCCAGCCCAGTCCTCCTCCCTCGGAGCAGGTGGGACTAGTGGAGTCTGGCCTGAGTGGCAGCTGCTCATTGCTCTCCTTCCCAGCTCCTAGGTGTGGCCCTGGGGTTCCTCTGTACCGGAGTGGCTGGCTCTGACTCTGGCCTTGGCCGGGCTCTGGGCACGGTCCTTCCAGGGGCGCTTCTTGGGCTGTGTCTTCCTCGGGGGCCTGTAGCCACCGAAGCTCCTCGGGCTGCAGGGCCTGGTACCAGGCTGGGGGCCCGCCCTCGGGGGTCAGCACAGGGCTGGCAGCCTCCTGGTCCGCCCCGCTGGCCCCTCGGGCCCCCGTCCTGGCCACGGCCGCTGGGAGCTGCAGGAATCGCTGCATCGGGGCCGGGTCCTGCTCTGGGATGGGACTGAGCTGGCCAGGGAGCTGGGGATGCCTGTCACTGTCACCAGACGGCCCGCCCCCGAAACTCAGAAACCGGACACTGGCAGGGAGACAGGCTCTGGTTTCCTCTTCGCAGCTCAGAGACAAGGACTGAGGAGGGGAGGAGACTGGGCACCGAGCCAACCTCAATCTCTGAGCAGGGAGGAGGCCAGAGGTCGGGGAGCTGGTGCAGAGGGAGGTTGAGGGGTGCCCTCCTCACCTCCACTCACGCCCCAGCGCGACCTCTGCCTCCCCAGAACTGCTCGTCAGAAACCTTGCCCACCCTTCTTACTCTGACCCAACCTTTTTGCCTCTTTGTTTTGGTTAATCCTCACTCGAGGATATTTTTCCATTGATTTTTAGAGAGAGCGGAAAGGAGGGGAAGAGAGAGAGAGAAACATCAATGTGAGAGAGACACATCGATTGGTTGCCTCCTGCATGTGCCCCGACCAGGGCCGGGGATCAAGCCTGCAACCGAGGTACATGCCCTTGACCGGAATCAAACCCAGGACCTTTCAGTCCACAGGCCAACGCTCTATGGACGGAGCCAAACCGGCCAGGGCTTCTTGCCTCTTCTTATCTCACCTCCCGCCCTACCTGGCTGAGGCCTCCCAGGTCATCCCTCCACCTGCTCACTCATATCATACCCTTGCCCTCTGGTCCTCACTGTCTCTACCCTGCCAGGGGTGGTTGGCTTTATTCACTGTATTTTACAATGCCTCAACCCTCCTCAGGTTCCCACCCTCACCTTTGCCTCCGATAAAATCCCTCACAGCTCCCAACATCTATGCTCTCCTCTCCTCCAGCCTCCCTCCCCTCCAAGCAGAGCTGGTCCACCTTGAAGCCAGGCCATTCCTCCCACTCAGCTCTAGAAACACGCCCCCCCTCCCTCGCACCTAAGGATTTGTGACTCTTTCCATTCCCTTCAGCCTCTCCCACTCTACTGGCCCTTTCCCAACTACAGTTAAACTTGCTCTAGACGCTCCCATCCTAATAAACAAACAACAATAAAACAGACTATGGAAAACAGTACAGAGTTTCCTCAAAAATTAAAAATGGAACTTGCGCCCTAACTGGTGTGGCTCAGTGGATAGAGTGTCGGCCTGAGGACCGAAAGGTCCCGGGTTCGATTCCGGGCAAGAGCACGTACCTTGGTTGCGGGGCCTTCCCCAGCCTGGGCCCCGG